AAGGGCAAGAACCTGGCCGCCGGCGTTGACCTCACAGCCATCGCAAGGCAGACCCCAGGCATGTCCGGCGCAGACCTTGCGAACTTGCTGAACGAGGGCGCCATCGTCGCTGCGCGCCAGAACAAGGCGGAGATCGACTCCGACGACATCTTCAACGCATTGGAGCGCATTTCTATTGGCCTGGAGAAGAAAGACGCAGTCATGTCCGACCAGAAGAAGAAGCTCGTGGCCTATCATGAGGCCGGTCATGCGATCCTGGGTGCTCTGATGAACGACTACGACGTCGTGGCCAAGATCAGCATCGTCCCTCGGGGCCCAGCCGGTGGCGTGACGATCTTCATGCCTTCCGAGGATAGGCTGAACTCTGGCCTCTACTCGAAGGAGTTTCTGGAGAATCGCATGTGCGTGGCGCTGGGTGGGCGCTTGGCCGAAGAGATCATCAACGGCAAGGACAATGTGACCACTGGTGCCTCCAACGACTTCCAGCAGTGCACGCAGGTCGCCAAGCAGATGGTGATGACACTTGGCATGTCACCGGAAATTGGCCAGCGTCTCCTGGGAGGCCAGCAGGGTGGCGGTCCCTTCATGGGCCGTGACTTCATGGGACAGGGGGCTCCTCCCATGTCGCAGGCTCTGAAGCAGAAGGTGGACGGTGAGATCAAGCGCATCGTGGACGAGCAGTATCAGCGTGGCATGAAGCTCCTTCGAGACAACATGTATCTCCTTGATGGGCTTGCCAAGCTTCTGTTGGAGGAGGAGAAGGTCTCCGGCGAGCAGCTGATGAAACTGATCAACAAAGCTGCTGCAGAAGGAAAGCTGGTCATGGGCAACAGCAAGATGGCCGTGGCCGCCTACACGGGCGAGGTGATCGAGAACTCCTCGGAGGTGTCTTTGCCGCGAAAGACCCAGTGTGTGCACCCGGACAAGCCCATGATGTTCGCCTGTGCCGACTGCCCGCGACGCGGCTTCTGCGGTTCAACTCGTGCTGCGCCCAGGGATGGCAAGGCTGCGCGCAGCGCCGTGGCTCGGCTGGGTCTCGCCACGCCCGAGGCGGAGAGTCGCGAGTCCACCAGCGAGGAAGTGCTGCGCCGAATCAAGGGCATGGCAGCTGAGGTGTCCCCTTCCGGTGCAGCTTTGCCTGAGAGCGTGGTGAAGAATGCTGCCGTGCAGGCCTTGGCGGTTCTCGCCGCCTCGGCCGGGCCCTTGGCCGCCAAGGCGGATGACGTTCCCGCTCTCCAGTCCATGGGAACCCCGCAGATGCAAATGCAGCAGCCTGGTGGGGGCGCTCAGCGCGTCTCGGGCCGGGTAACCTACTCCCGGCTCTTGGAGTTCGTGGACGAGGGCTCCGTGAAGCGGGTGGACTTTTACGACCTCGGCCGCACGGCGGTGGCCACGGTGACTGTGGCCGGCCGGGAGCAGCAGCTGGTGTGCGACCTCCCAGGTGCTACCACAGGCCTCATCGAGAAGCTCACGACCAAGGGCATCTCAATTGAGGTCCACCAGCCAGAGAAGCCGAACCCCATCTTCAACGTCTTGGGCGATGTCGCCTTCCCTTTGCTTCTGATTGCCGGACTCCTGTTTCTGCGCTCCCGTGCCCCCGGCGGTGGTGGCATTCCTGGCTTCGGCAATCAGGGCCAGGCGAAGATCATGATCACTCCCGAGACCGGCGTGAAGTTTGAAGATGTCGCCGGAATCGACGAGGCCAAGGAGGAGCTCATGGAGATCGTGGATTTTCTGAAAGCGCC